CCATGCTGAGGCCGCGTCCCACATACAGCAACTAGAAGGATGTGCAACTGTGACATACAACTATCTACTGGGGCTTTGGGGGAAAAATAAATAAAATTATTAAAAAAAAAAAAAGAAAATAAATCACATCATAACATGGATGAAACTGGAAGACATTATGCTCAGTGAAATAAGCCAGAAACAAAATGACAGATAATGTATGATTCCACTCATATGAGGTCCCTAGAGGGGTCACGTGCGTAGCAACGAGAAGTAGAACGGTGGGTGCTGGGGAGAGGGGAACAGGTCATGTTTGAGGGGGACAGAGTTTCTGTCTGGGATGATGAAAAGTTCTGTGGATGGAGGCAGTTGCACAACAATGTGAATGTTCGAAATACCACTGAACCATGCGCTTAAAAATGGTTATGGTGGTGAATTTTGTTATGTATATTTTACTGCAATAAAAAAAATTGGAAAAAAAAATCAGAGTCTCTCAGGCCCTTTTTAAATCTCTCCAGTGGTCTCCCAGCCACTTATTTATTTATTTATTTTTGTGAGGAAGATTAGCCCTGAGCTAACATCCAATGCCAATCCTGTTTTTTTTTGCTGAGGAAGATTGGCGCTGGGCTAACATCTGTGTCCATCTTCCTCTACCTTATATGGGACACTGCCACAGCATGGCTTGACAAGCAGTGCGTTGGTGCGCACCCGGGATCCGAACCTGTGAACCCTGGGCCACCCCAGCGGAATGCATGCACTTAACCCCTGTGCCACCGGGCCGGCCCCTCCCAGCCACTTAGAATAAAGCCCACCCTCCTTACTACAGCCCCCAGGGTCCTGCGTGGTCTGGCACCTTCTGCCTGGTCTGAATTCATTTCTTTGTTTTTTTCCTTGTGAGGACGATCAGCCCTGAGGTAACATCTGTTGCCAATCCTCCTCTTTTTACTGAGGAAGACTGGCCCTGAGCTAACATCCGTGCCCAACTTCCTCCACTTTATACGGGACACCGCCACAGCATGGCCTGACAAGCGGTGCATCGGTGTGCGCCCGGGATCCGAACCTCGGGCCCCTGCAGTGGAGCGCACGCACTTAACCGCTACGCCACCTGGCCGGCCCCTCCTTCATTCTTCCTGGATCACCCCAAGGCCCCTGTGTGCATTCATTCATTCGTTCAGTTATTCAGCGTATTTGCAAGATGCCAATATGTGCCCGGCACTGCAGAGTAAAAGAAATAGCAGTGAAGCCAGACCTAATCCTGCCCTCCTGGGGCTGCCAGTCAGGGAGGGACGGACAACACCAAACACAACGTATGAAGTGCTATGAAAGACAACCAAAGCAAGGTAAGGGCGAGTGTGGGTGGTCAGGGCAGGCCTCCTGGAGGAGGTGACATTTGGACGGAGGCCCAGAGGAGGAGGAGGGGAAGCGGGTGTTCCAGGCAGAGAGAGCAGCAGGTGCCTCGTCCCTTGGTCAGGAAATAGCTTGTGGGTTCTAGAACAGCGAGGGGTCGGTGTAGCTGGAGAGGAGTGAGCGAGGGCAAGTGGTGGGAGATGAGGGCAGGGAAGGGAGTGCCCTCACAGGCCACAGTGAAGAGCCTGGAGTTTACTCCTAGCGGGAAGCCACCCTTAGAAGGTTTCAACAAGGAACGACACATCTGACTGCTGTTTCGCGAGCTCTCTGGACACAGCTGGGGAAGGGACTGGAGGGAAGGAAGCCCAGCGTGGAGGCCGTGGGGATGAAGAAAAGCACCTGGATGCAAATAGAGAATCATCATGCTGTGCACCTGAAACTAAAATAATGTTCTGTCAATTATATCTTAATTTAAAAAAAAGAAGAAAAGCACCTAGAACTTCTAGGTAAAACTTGGTGGACGTGTTGGGGGATGGATGTCATGTGCAGAAAGGGAGACATCAAACTCAACTCCCCAGTTTTCACCCTCGTAGATGAGTGGAGTGTAGGGTTATCTGCTGAGATGTGAAGACTCCAGGGAGATCAGGGTTAGGTGGAGAGGGAACTGAGATGGCGAGTTTGAGATCCAAGTGGACGTTCTGCTCCTTCAACTAAGTAGGCTCATTTCCAGCCTCAGGACCTTTGCACTGGCTGTTCTCTCTCCCAATGGGGGGTGGCAGGGGAATGACCTCCCCCAGATCTTCACATAGGGGCCTTTCTTGGCGCTCTGGCCTTGGCTCAAATGTCACCTCCTTGATATCCTTCCCCAACCACCTGTCCCTCCAACTAAGGCCACCAATCCCTCCATTCACCTCCACCCTCAAGACTCTACATCATCCTGTTTAAATCCGGAAAAGCACTTACCACTGTTGTTAAATTTCTATTTCCCCAAACTGTAGGCCCCAGCGGGGCAGCGTCAGCACCTCATTCACTGCTAAACGGCAGCACCCAGCTCAGGGTCCAATGTATAGTACAGACTCCATAAATGTAGAGTGAGTGATTAATTGGGTCCCCTATGGACCAGATCCCGTGCACTGTTAGGAGGACCCATGAGATACACACCTCACCCCCAAGGATTTCAGTCTTGCTGGAGGGAAAGAGATGTCAGCCCTGGATCCCAGAAGAGGTCCCTTACCCAGAGGAATGTCAGGGAAAGCTTCCCAAAGGAGGTGACAGCTGCAGCTGCCGGAAGAAGGAAGACCAGAGGGTTATGCCCCATGTCGAGGCCCTGGAGACGCGAGGCACGAACAGGGATCACTATTCCATTGACAAGAGGTGCTCAGAGGCAGAAACTCTCTGACACTGCCTGACGACTCAAATCCTGACCAAGGGCGATATCTAAGAACCCATCCTCTCTCCCGGAGGGAACAGAAAAGAACGGGCAAGCGCCGCGCAACGCGGTAGATCTCCAACAGGCGGCAGTAAAAGCAGGAATCTTCATTCATCTGAGGCTGAGAATACGCGAAAGAGGGAATCATGGCTCCTCGCGGCCTCCGTATTACGGAACATGAGCGCAAAGATGGCCGCCCCCTCAGGCTAAGGGCATCAGAGGATCATGTGACTAGGCAACTTCCGATCCCTCTCCGCAGGTTTTCCAGAGCCCTACTTCCTGCGCTCTCGTAGAGAAGGGCGTGCCAGGGCTTAGTGCGTCTCGAGGCCGCCGGAGGCCCGGCCTGGGGCGGCTCTGATCTGGGAGTGCGATCGCAGGGGCATGGAGGGTCCCCAGGAGGGGAAGGCGCCTGCGGCGGCGCTGGCCGCCGTGCTGAAGCACAGCTCGGCTCTGCCGTCCGAGAGCGCCCAGGTCCGGGGCTACGACTTCAACCGCGGCGTGGACTACCGCGCGCTGCTGGAGGCCTTCGGCACCACTGGTTTCCAGGCCACCAACTTCGGGCGCGCGGTGCAGCAAGTCAACGCCATGGTGAGCCCTGGGGCGGGACTTCTTGGGTTGACGGGGGCGTGGCCTCCAGTAGCGCCAATGCTGTACTTGCAGGGGGCGGGGCTTCCACGGGAGAAGGAGGCGTGCCCTTCGCTGGGCTGTCCAGTAGTTGGAGAGGGGCGGGGCCTACCCTGGCGGGAGTTTCTGTGCTGGGGAGGGGGCGTTGCCCCCTAGTAGGTATATCCTAGTATCAGGAGGGTATGGAGACTGATTCTAGGTACCGGGCAGGTTTTAGGCAACGTGGGAAAGTGCTGTGGAGTGGGCGGAGCCTGGGACAAGACCGTGTGGTTGAGGGAGGAATTGGGGGAGGAGCCGAAATCAGGGCGGGGCCTGAGTTGGATTTGCTCTTCCCAGTGGGAAAGGGGGTCGGGTCTCCAAAAGTGATGCTCTCGGATTCCTGAAACGGGGCAAAGCCTGAGCGTGAGCCCTGAGATTCGGGCTGTGAAGGGGCGGAGCCTGCACAGGGGCGTTCATTCCCTGGTTCCTCGTAGACGTGGTCCTGTATCCCCTAGTGGGCAGGGCTTGGCGGCGGAGCTGAAACCCACCTGGAGTTTTTGGGCTGGACTTTGGAGTTCACTCGACCTTCTTCTGACACCTAGATAGAGAAGAAACTGGAGCCGCTGTCGCAGGATGAGGACCAGCATGCAGACCTGACCCAGAGCCGCCGCCCACTCACTGGCTGCACCATTTTCCTGGGCTACACTTCCAACCTCATCAGTTCAGGCATCCGTGAGACCATCCGTTACCTCGTGCAGCACAACATGGTGGGCACCCGGTGGGGCTGTGACCTTGGCCTCTTCTGGGTCTTAATGGGCAGTAAGATTATTGGTCATTTAAGGGAGATAGGGAGATATGTGTCAGCAGAGGGACAGGATGGGGTTTTGCTTTGTGGCAGAGCACCTCCCAAGGGTCACTGGAGGGTTGGGAGTTAGGAGTCCTGCCCTGCATGAGGGCAGGGCTCCCCTTCCTGGGCCAACCTCACTGCCTTGTGGCTGCAGGTGGACGTCTTAGTGACCACAGCTGGGGGCGTGGAGGAGGATCTCATCAAGTGCCTGGCACCCACGTACCTGGGGGAGTTCAGCCTCAGGGGGAAGGAGCTACGTGAGAACGGGATCAACAGGTGGGGGGCGCCCTGAGTGGTGCTGGGTGTGGGAGCTGGGCTGAGGGTCCTGGGGCCTGACGCCCACATGCCTCCTGTCCCCAGGATCGGAAACCTGCTGGTGCCCAATGACAATTACTGCAAGTTTGAGGACTGGCTGATGCCCATTCTGGACCAGATGGTGTTGGAGCAGAACACAGAGGTGGGGCTGGAGCAACCGGGGGGGCTGGCATGGTGGGAGTCAGGGGAGGTGCTGCTGGCTGAAGCTGATGTCCCCTTCTAGGGTGTGAAGTGGACGCCTTCCAAGATGATCGCCCGGCTTGGCAAGGAGATCAACAACCCAGAGTCGGTGTATTACTGGGCCCAAAAGGTGAGGGGCTGGGTGAAGGCAAAGATGCCAGGCCTCAGCATGTGTGGTTTCATCTTGAGAGCCGTATGGGGAGTCAGTACTATTCTCATCATCCCCACTCTTAGATGAGGAACGTCAGACAGAGAGAGGTTAGGCAGTTTGTCTGAAGTCCCACAGCTCTCGAGTGTGGTCCTGGTATCCTGGCTCTACTCCCAGGCCACCTGGGAGCAGCCAGGGTGGTGCTTAGCAACCCCCACGTGGTGGGGACCAGGCTGCCTCCACCAGGCTCTGAGCTCCGGCCGCTGTCTTGTCCTGCCCTCCTCCAGAACCACATCCCCGTGTTGAGCCCAGCGCTTACAGATGGCTCGCTAGGCGACATGATCTTCTTCCATTCCTACAAGAACCCAGGCCTGGTCCTGGACATTGTTGAGGGTGAGGCGCTGGGGCTGCAGAGGAGTCGGGGAGGGAGGAGGGTTGCTGGGCCCGCGGCCTGACCACAGCCTTCTTCCCCCAGACCTGAAGCTCATCAACACACAGGCCATCTTCGCCAAGCGGTCCGGGATGATCATCCTGGGTGGGGGCGTGGTCAAGCACCACATCGCCAACGCCAACCTCATGGTGAGCGGGATGAGCGTGCGCCTGGTTCCCAGCAGGGGCGGTACGTGGCCCTGCCGTGCAGACATGCCCTTGTGTTCAGCCTGTGCCATGTCTCCATGGAGACAGCCGTGACTAGACAGGCCTGGATCCCTGCCCTCTTGGGACTGATGTTCTCGTCAGGGAGACAGACGGCAAACAAGTGACATGCACATCAGGTGGCAGTAACTGCTATGGAAAAAATGAAGGATGACGAGGTGGCAAGAGAAAGGGGTGCTGTTCGAAAACGAGCAGCTTTCCTGGGAAATGTGAGCCTGTGAGCAGAGGATTTCAGGAGGTGCCTCCCATGGGCCATGTGGTTATCTCGGGGATGAGCTCCCAGCAGAGGGAACAGCCAGCGTAGAGGCTCTGAGGTGCCCAAAGAAGGTCAAGCAACAGCTAGGGGTCCAGTGAAGAGGAGAAGGGGAGGAGGTGAGATGGGGAGGTGACCCGCCTTGAGGGCTACTCAGGTGCTCACTGGCGCCCTCTGGCGGCTGTGGGGAAACAAATAGCGGGGCCATGGTCGGGAGAGGTGGTTAGGTTTGGAGGTCTTCTGATGACAGCCTTGGTGGCAGCTCCTGCTGAGCAGATGCAGGAGGGGTGTTGCTCCCCAGAAGGTGGGTCTGGGGCAACGCTGCCCACCATCTGCCCAGCAACCCCTACCCCTCACTGTGCCCAGGTGTTGACATGGGGCCTCTCCCTCGGAGCGAGGGGCTGCCAAGGGCTTCCTTCATCCGGGGCACCTCCCTCAGCCTCTCTGACTACAGTGCCCTGCCTGTGTGTCTGTCTGTCTCCTTTGACCGGCTGACAGGCCCGCCCTGCCCCTCCCCACAGCGCAACGGGGCTGACTATTCCGTTTACATCAACACGGCCCAGGAGTTTGACGGCTCCGACTCGGGCGCCCGGCCGGACGAAGCCGTTTCCTGGGGCAAGATCCGGGTGGACGCACAGCCTGTCAAGGTGAGAGCCTGCTGGGTGGCTGGGGTACACGGTCTCCCAGGCCGCAGCCACGGGTCCCATGGCTCACCCAGGTCCCCTCCACAGGTCTACGCTGATGCATCCCTGGTCTTCCCCCTGCTTGTGGCCGAAACCTTTGCCCAGAAGGTAGACGCCTTCACGCCTGAGAAGAACGAGGACTGAACGGCTGCCGCCCCAGGGAGGCCCCACTCTATTTATTAATCTGCTGACCCAGCCCCTCTCCGCCTGCTTGGTCAGCGGCGTGTCTAAAATAAACCGTCTCAGTGGCTCTCCCGAGTCTGGGTCTGTGTCCTTGGTGGTGGTCCCCTGGCTTCAGCCTGCGCCCCCTTCAGCCTCGTAGGCCTCTTCCCGCCAGCACTGGACGCTGCCCCCCGTGGCGGTCAGCAGGCAGGGCTCTGCAGGGTGGTAGGCCAGCGACTGCACCACGCCGGGGCCCACAGGCAGGGCCAGTGCCAGGGACCCCTGGGGAGCGAGGGGGTGGGGAACGTCGTCAGTGCATCCCCTCCCCTCAGCCCCTCCCAGGCACCGTGAACCTCATCTGCCCCACACTGAACCCCTCGGCCGCTCCGTCCTCTCAGGAGCTCAGACCAACATCTCGCGAGTGTCTCTCACATCCTTGCTCAGCAAGTCCCCTTGCCTCTTCCTTTCGACGTGTCCAGGGACTGCCGGTCCTCTCACCCCTCATGGCTGCCACCCCACTCCGATCCGTCCCGTCTTGCTCCCAGCTTCCCTCCCCCTCGCCGCTTCGGGGTTCCACTGGCCCATCTGGGAGCCTCAGTGCTCTCACTTCCCTTGTCGCCCCGCAGTCACGCTCTGCATCCGTGGTTCCTCAAGCAGGCCTCAGTTCCTCTTTCCACCTCGAAACGTACCTTCAGGTGCCCTCCCCCAGGGTGACTTCTCCTCTACCGGACCCTCCAGAAGGAGGCCGAATGTGCGCGCTTTCTTGGTTCCCAGAGCGAGAGCTGGCCCCTGGAGTCTCCAGGGCCCCAGTTCCCTCCACCCTCTTAGGGGCCTTAATTCCCCTGGCCAAGCCCCAGTGGCCACGTCTCCTTCCCTGAGGCTCCCAGCCCTGACTCCACTAAGCCTGGCCAGTCTGTTCCCAGCCTGACACCCCCCTAGGCCAGATCACATCACGATAGGTGACAGGCTCAGGGCTGGAAAGTACAGCGATGCTCAAAGGCAGCTCAGGTTCCCTGAACAACTACAGCCTGGGTGAGCCCCGCGTCAAATGCTGGCCCCCCCTCCCCCAGGGTCAGTGCCAGTGGCTTGGCCTGGCAATCGTGGCCCTGCCTGCTCTGGACCCTGCTGCCGCCACCGCCACCACCGCTGTCCGGAAGTGCATCTACATCCTGACCAACGCACGTGTGCCACACCTCCAAGCCTCACGGCATGCTGTTCCTTTGCCAGGAGTGCCCTTCCTGCCTGTCCTCTCACTCCTCCTTCGAGCCCCCAGATCTATCAGCACTCCTTCCTTCAGGGCCGGGAGTGACCGCGGTAAGGACAGTGAAGGACAGGGCAGGTGCCCCGGGGCGGAGTGGGGGCGGGAGGCTCACCTCCACTAGGTCCCAGAAGAACACCCGCCCGTCCTCGGAGCAGCTGACCACGTGCGTGTCGCGCTCACTCAGGCAGCAGTCCAGCTTGTATTCCCGGTTCTTGTGGCCCGTGTACCTGGGGGCGGGTTGTGGGATCAGGGGGCCTTCCTCTCAGCAGAAGTGGGGGCGGGGGAGGAACCCCACGCCCCAAAGTCTCACTCGCCCAGCAGCTCCCCCGTGTCTTTGTCTAGAAGCCGCAATGTGGAGTCCAGGCTGGACACCAGGGTGCACTGGCCGTCCCGGCTGAAGCAGATGCAGGTGATGGGGCCTGGGGGGAAGGGATGGGAGGGCAGACTGGTGAGGCTGGGGCCCCCTCTGCAGCCCCCACATTCCCTACCTGCCCCACAGCCCCGGCCACACTCACTGCCCACGTAGTCTGAGAAAAGCTGCCCCATCCTCAGGTCATAGCGCCTCACTCGGCCGTCCACCGAGCTGCAGGAGAGGGTGGATCCAGCTGAAGCGGCCACTGGGGCTCCAGGCACCTCAGCATCCCTGTACCCTCCCTCCCCACCAGGGCCCTGACAGCAGGTAGGCCTGCCTTTCCTGTGCACCCTTCACTGTCTTGCTCCTGTCCAGGGCCAGAAAAAGCGTGCTGAAATAAATTCATAAGAGGAATTCCAAGGTGCTGGCTTTGAGACTCAGACCCAGCACCTATCAGGTCCCACTCCATCTGTTTCTAAGTACTGAGCATCCTCTCTGGGCCGGATCCTGTCTGGGGGCTTGAGACACAGCTGTGACCAAGCCAGGAGCACGTTCTGCCAAGACGGAGCCTCGCTGACTGAAAATAATCTAGGAAGGCCTCCCAGAGGAGATGACATCTGAGAACTGGGACTTGAAGGATGAGAGAGAGCCAACCACATGTGGTCTAAGGGGGATGTGTGGGAACAGGGCCAGCCACCAGGCTCCGCAAACTCCCCCCCAGGTGGGAATGGCTCTCAGGCAGCCCTGCATGTGCATTTTTTTTTTTAATTGTCTCCTGCAGCTACAATATCAACCCTATGTGGGCAGGCAATTTTCCTAATTTCTTTATGTTGTTCACTGCTGTGTGCTCAGTGACTAAAAAGTAACCTGCCGCAGGTGCTCAGATACACCCTGAATAAGCAGTAGAAGGGCAGTCCGGGCATAAGAGGCGTGCTGGGCATATTGAACAGAAAGGAGGCTGGGAACGAATAAAAGCAGAGAGGTCAGCAGGGACCGGACCATGCGGGGCCCTGTGACCCGCGGTGAGGACAGCAGATTGTAATCTAAGCCCAGAGGCGCCATGATCCCCAGCGGTGATCAGGCGAGGCCCTGGCTCCACTCACCCAGCCAGGACCTCGTGGTCCGACACCTTCACGCTGGACACGCCGTCCCTGGCTTCGTCCAGCGTCTGCACGGGCTCAGGCCGCCGAGAGCGGCAGTCCCAGCAGCGGACGCTCGAGTCGATAGAGCCTGGGAGGCCGGCACGAAGTTGAGGTCAGGTTGGGGGGGCAGGGCGGCACCCTGGGCCCCCCTGCCCAGGCCCCAGGCTCACCGGACAGGATGACCGTGGCCTCTTCATTAAACTGCACCGTGTTCACCTTCTGAGAAACAGGAACTGCCCCTCAGAGGAGGCCGGACTTGGGGGGACGGGAAGAGAGGCGGGCAAAGGCTAGGGGCACGGGACTGAAAGGTTTTGGGGGAACTGCAAGGACGGAGCTTCGGAAATGCTGGGCCCCGGGGGAATGATCCTCGCTCTGTAATGGGGGTGTCCCTGTCACCTCCCGCGCAGAAAGCGGGTCCCTTCCGCACTCACGCTCTCCTGCACTCACCCCCGCGTGGCCCCGGAATTTGCGCACGACCTGCCCCGAGGCCACATCCCACAGCACCACCGCCTTGTCCCCGCCGCCGGAGCAGAGGCTGCTGTTGTCAAAGGAGCTGGGGGGCGGGGGAGGCGGGTCAGCGCCGGGCCCCGGCCTGGCCCCCGCCCCTCACCCCCCGGCCCGGCCCCCGTCCCCGCGCGGCCAGCCCTCCGCCCGGCCGGCCCCCGGCCCCGCTCACCCGGCCGCGTCCAGCACCTCGTAGCCGTGGCCGCTGTACGTCCGCAGCAGCGTCCCCCGCAGCGGGTTCCACAGCTTCAGGGTCTTGTCGCTGCCGCACGTCAGGCAGTAGTTGCCGTCCACTGGGGAACACGGGGGTTCAGGGGGCCGCCGACCGCAGGAGGCGGAGGACCCGGATGCAGAGAGGGCGCTCACCATTGAATCGCACGGCTCGCACCGCCCCCTGCCCGCAGTCCAGCGTCTTCAACCGTTTCTGCGGCAGCTCCGGGCCCCGCGGCTTTGGCTCAGGGAAAGCCATTGCTCCCGGAGCCCTTCCTCGCCGCCTTAGGTCGGTGTACGCAGGCTTCCGAGACCTCGGAACCCTACGCTTCGGTGTCACCTTATTATTGTCCACCGCGGCCTACTTCCTGTTTCTCACTTCCAGGTTCAAATTTTCGGCTTTTCGGCTAGTGTTGGGAATATTGAAGCCGCTTCCAGCTTCTTTTCCCCACTTGCTGTTTTTAAGGGACATTTTGGCGTCTTTAATTTTCTGTCCTCTGGCTGTGGGGAGTCCTGGCCCCCGCCGCTAGGAACGGAAGCGCGAGGGCTGCGGGTGTTACACTAAAAGCCACCCTCCGTTTCCACGCCGGAAGTTGCAACTCTCGTTGCGGAAGAGGCGCGACCTCGGAGTCGCTATGTCCATGAACAGCATGTCGGACCCACGGAGACCGAACAAAGTGCTGAGGTGAGGACCCAGCGTCATGGGAACGGGCCTTGGGGTGTGGGGCGGGGGCCAGGGAAGCGCTTGTCCATCCCGGGGGCGCGACTTGCGCCCCCTGACCCTTGCGCCTGCCGCAGGTACAAGCCACCGCCGAGCGAGTGTAACCCCGCCTTGGACGACCCGACGCCGGACTACATGAATCTGCTGGGCATGATCTTCAGCATGTGCGGCCTCATGCTCAAGGTGGGCGCGGCTGAGTGTCCTCCGGCGCTGCTCTGCCTGACAGCCGCGCCGGGGGCGGATTCGGAAGGAAGCGGGCCAGCGCCGAAGGGGCGCGGCCTGAGCCTGGCCGGGGGCGGGGCCAGTGACGCTGGACGGGGAAAGGGCCGTGGGGCAAGCCGGCGGTCCGGGTCAGGGTGGGTACGTGGGCGGTCGGTCTGAGGGGGATGCTAGGCTTTAAAGAAACGGGAGGGGACTTGTGGAGAAAGGCTGGGGTGCTTAGCATGATGGGATATGTCAAAGACTAGTCTTCTTAGGCCGCGGAGTAGGATCAAAAACCGGGTACTTGGAGTAGGCTCTGGGGGGATGGGACGGAGGGACTCCTGGAGGGCAAGGTCCGAGCTGCAGCAGGTGGAAGCGGTGGGTTGGAACCGCTGCCTGGGAATGCCCCTTTGGAGGCTCATTGCCTGCCTCGCACTGAGCTAACCCACCCATCCACCCACCTTTCCCCAGCTGAAGTGGTGCGCTTGGGTGGCCGTCTACTGCTCCTTCATCAGCTTCGCCAACTCCCGGAGCTCTGAGGACACTAAGCAGATGATGAGTAGCTTCATGTGAGGCTGGTCTTAGAGAAGGAGGGACTCCCGAGGAAGGGGAGGGGGCCCCAAGCCTACCCATCCTGGACTGACACTCTCTCCCGTCTCAGGCTGTCCATCTCCGCTGTGGTGATGTCGTATCTGCAGAACCCTCAGCCCATGACGCCCCCCTGGTGATGTCAGCCTAGAGGGTTACATCCTGGACTCCTTTCTCTGCCTTCCCCCAGGCCTGGCCCTTGGCTGCTCAGCCTCCTGCCCTCAGCTGTTGGCCTGGGCTTCTCTGGGTGAGGTAGTCTCAGGGCCTGCAGCTGGATGGGGGAGCCTGGGCCTTTCCCTGGGATCCCACTTCTGCTGGGGCAGAGAGGGGATACCCTGGGCCCACCCGTCCTGCCTTCCTTCCCCACCCTGCCTGCTGCCGGGCGAGATGCTGTCCATGTTTCTAGATGTATCCACTCGTTTTCTTGTTGAAACCAGTTACTAATAAAGTTTTGCATTCTGGTTGTTCTCTGTGACCTATCTCCTGTGCACTGCGGCTGCTCTTCCTAGGGGGCAGGGCTCGTTCCTCCACTCAGTCAGGCCTGGGGAGGGGCCCCAGGCTGGAGCCTTCTGGTAGTTCACTTGTTTATTTCACAAGCCTCGTGCTTTAAGTCAGGTGCCAGGTACAGGACAGTGACCCCTGCCCTCTGGCAACTCAGCAGATGGCCCTGCTGACCTGAGGAATCTGGGCTTTGGTTTTCTTATCAGAGAAACGGGGTCACATAAGCGAACTGGACAGACTGGTAGGGATTGGGAAAGGCATGAAAGACAGAGTCCTTCCCCCACGTGTCAGGCTCCCTCCTCACCGGAGGACCCCAGTGTCTTTTCAAACCAGGCCCGATGTCTCCTGTCCCCAGGACTCCAAGGGCAGTTCCTTGACCCAACGTCTCAATCCTCACAGGACAGAACCGGGCCCCCATCAACTTCTGCTCCTAGCCCAGCTAGGTCCCCCTAGACCCCTAGCCCTGAAGGTCAACGGGATACTCGAGGACCCCATGCACACACTCCACCTCGTAGCAAGCCCCGTACCCGTCGGGAAATTTGAGATCTCTTCACCCACAGGAACAAAAGGGCACTCCGAGGCCACACGTAGGCGGTGAGCGCGCAAGACTCCTTTGGCCATGGGGGCCAGCCTCGTGGCATAGCGGTTAAGTGCGCGCGCTCCGCCGCTGGCGGCCCGGGTTTGGATCCTGGGGGCGCACCGATGCACCTCTTGTCAGGCCATGCTGAGGCCGCGTCCCACATAAAGTGGAGGAAGATGGGCACTGATGTTAACTCAGGGCCGGTCTTCCTCAGCAAAAAGAGGAGGACTGGCATGGATGTTAGCTCAGGGCTGATCTCCCTCACAAAAAAGAAAAAAAAAAGACTCCTCTGGCCAAACCAGCACCCCGAGGGTGGGACACGACCTGCGTCTCCCTACGCTCCTAGAGCCCCCGGAGGTACTCAGAACTACCGCCCGGGTCCGGTGACACGCCGGGCCCCGCCCTGGCCCCGCCCCCGGCGGCGCCCATTGGCCAGGCCGGGTTCTGGGGGCCGGGCCTCTGCCCTGCCTTAGCCGCCGGGAATCCCCCGGAGGCGGCGGCGGCGGCGGCGGCGGCGGAGCTGGAGCCATGGGCGCCCAAGCGAGGCCTTCGGCGGTCCTCGTGGGCAGCGGCCGGGGCACGGCGGGGCGCTGGACGAGCTCCCGCGCGCTGCGGCCCCCGCTCCTGCCTCTCTCTTTCCTTCTTTTGTTGTTGCAGGCAGCGCCCGGCGCTCGGGCCGCGGGATACGAGGTGAGCGGGGCCCGCGAGCGGAAATGTACACGAGCCGGAGTGAAGCCCTGAGTAGGGTCCCGAGGTGTGGCGGGTCCTGTTCTGCGGGTGCCCAGTGAATGGCGGCTAATATGACAGTGTGGTCTGAGTGCGTGCTTTGTGTCAGTGAGGTCTGGTGGTGTGTAGACGTCTGAGCATGGGACTGTTTGTACCTGCCTCCCTGCTTCCGTGGGTCGGCCTCTGGACTTCACGAACTTAACTGTGTGATTGGGCGTGTGGGTTTGTGTGTGAGCAGCTGTGTGTGTGTAGGGGGGACTGGTTGACAGCTGGGACTCTGGAGTCAGCCCGCCTGGAGTTCCAGCCTGGCTCCTCCACTTCCTGGGTGTGTGACCCTGGGCAAGTCACTTCTCTCTGTTCCCCAGTGCTCTCATCTGAAAACTGGAGATTATATTGCCCCCACCCCCAGGGGGGCTGCTCGGTATTTCCAGATGCTTAACCAACGTTAGCTACCACTATGATTATTTCCCCAGAGTGTGAATGAGAGCAGCCCTGAGGGCTTGTGCTAAGTGGGAGTTGTGTCTGTGAGCACAACTCTGTGTCCTCCCTGGGAGGGCCCGGCCCTGCCTCTCTGAGGCCCTTGCCGCTAGATCAAGACTTATCTTGTGCCCCCTCACCCCCACCCCAGCCTGACTCTTAACCTTGGGGTTACTGACAGGGTGCGTGTGTGTTTGGGGTCTCTGCAGATGTGTCCCCCGGTGCAGCCGGACATGCTCAACGTGCACCTGGTGGCCCACACACATGACGACGTGGGCTGGCTCAAGACGGTGGACCAGTACTTCTACGGCAGTGAGTAGAGGGTGGGGACTGACCCTGGGCCCCTGTGAGCCCTTCCAGTCCTGTCTGGGCCCTGGACATGAGGGTGGGGGCAATGCCAAGCTTGGGCTCGTGCGTCTAGGGGTGTCCCCTTGGCTCGCTGGTCCCTGACTGCCTGGCCCCTGTGCCCACAGTCCAGAACGACGTCCAGCACGCGGGTGTGCAGTACATCCTAGACTCGGTCATCTCTTCCCTGCTCGCGGACCCCACCCGCCGCTTCATCTACGTGGAGATCGCCTTCTTCTCCCGCTGGTGGCACCAGCAGACAAACGCAACACAGGAAATAGTGCGGGACCTGGTGCGCCAGGGTGAGCCGGCCCCAAGGAAGTGAAAAGAGGAAGCCCAGCCCAACTTCTATTTCTGCCACCCTGGTTTCTGAGATTTTATCTTGCCATGCACAGCCCGTACGTGCATGTGGCTCCGCCTGCCTGGAATTTCCCTTTATCTGGAGAACTCCTATGCATCCTGCAAGGCCCCACCTCCAGTGGATTCTCTGGGAGGCCTGCCATTCAGGGGGCCCTCTGTCCCACATCTGGCTTCAGGTCGTCTCATCCCGTGTATCACCTACCCCGTCTCCACTCCTGGCCTTGACAACTGACCCAGCCTCTGCCTCTCCCCACACAGGGCGTCTGGAGTTTGCCAACGGTGGCTGGGTGATGAACGATGAGGCGGCCACCCACTACGGAGCGATCATAGACCAGATGACACTAGGGCTGCGCTTCCTGGAGGACACGTTTGGCAGCGACGGGCGCCCCCGTGTGGCCTGGCACATCGACCCCTTCGGCCACTCTCGCGAGCAGGCGTCGCTGTTCGCGCAGGTGCCTTCCCGACCCCTCTTGGCCTCGCCCCTGTATTTGCTCTGACCCCTCCTTCGGCCACTCAAGCCCCGCCCTTCCCTGCAAGCTCACGGGGGCCAGGCGCTGTCCCCTGGCCTGCTGTCCCTTGAGCCCCTGCCTCTTGGGTGAGCCGTGAATCCCAGTCCTTTTCCGCTCTGGCCTCGGCCCTGTTCTGCCCCAGCCCGGGCTGACCCCGCTCCAGCTGGCTCCTCCCCTTCCCGGGCCCCGCCCCGTCTGCTAGGATCCTGGCTTCTCCCCAGGGCGGGTGGCAGGGGGAGGCCTGCCCTGCTTTTTACCCGGCTCCATGACCTGTGCCATGACCCCTTCCATGCTCAGGCTGCGGAAGGGGGGCGCTCTCCTTGAGTCAGGCC